TTTTTTTTGGCGTGTGGATACCAAGTTTTTCTAGCATCATTTGTTGACAATGTGATCCCATTGAATCGTAACTTTTTAACTATTAAAAAAAAAAGAAAACAAAAATCAACTGCTATTGCAGGGACTAGTTGAATAGTAGGTTTAGCCAGACAGACACTTTAGTGCTTAAGACTCGTCCTGGAGAAGAGGGATCCTCACTGGATGGTCACTGGGGTGTCCCCTTCATTCTTTCCATGCTGTGCCACTCTTACTACACAGAGGTACAAAGGCATGAACACATTACAAGAGGACAAAAAGGACAACTTTTATGTATTTGTTTTTAAATGTTTATTTCTTTTGAGAGAGAGAGTGTGTATGCAGTGGGGGGAAGGGTGGTGGGGCATGCAGAGAGAGAGGGAAAGAGAGAATCCCAAGCAAGCTTCATGTTGTCAGCACGGAGCCCAATGTGGGGCTCAATCCCACAAACCGTGGGATTATGACCTGAGCCCAAATCAAGAGTAGGACATCTAACCAACGAGCCACCCAGACACTCCTGAAAAGGACAACTTTTAAATGGGATTGGGAAATGTCTCATAGAAGAGATAGCTAGGCGACTGAGACTAGAAAAGTGGTAGAATTTTGCTGCAGCATTTGAAAGGCTTTCTGGATAGAAAGAGGAGCACTTACAATGGCTTAATTGTATAAAAGAGTATGACAGAATCTGAGACACTGAGTGCTTCTTTGTGGTTTGAGTAGGGAATACAAGGAGATCCATGGTGGAAGATGAGACAAAAGTGATGTGTTGGGTCAGGTTGGAAAGCGTCTACCACCCTAAGGAATTTAGAGTTTGCCTTTGACCATGGTGAATGATGGAAGGTAAATTTACGCAGAGGGTGAGTAACATGATTAGATCTGTACCTTAGAAAAATAGTTTCGCTAGCTGGAAGGATTGACGAGGGCAGAGCCAAGGGAGGGAAATCATCTGGAATACCGTTACAGTAGCACAGGAGTGAGAGGATTAAATTATGAAAGTGGTATTAGGAATAAAAACTTGAAGATACATTTGAGATAGGTGTTAGGGGGTAGAATCAAGCTTCAATATTTAACTGACTGGTAGTGGTTTAGTTTACTTACGTTTAGAGTAATCAGGACCTAGAATTAATATCTTGAGATTCCAAGGAATGTATTTGTGCGTGCAGGAAGATGGGGGCAGAGAGGAAGTGATTTATCTAAACATTCCTCTTTCCTCAACACTTCTCGTTCCCCAAACATACATATACACACATCATGGCCAGAGTTTTAGAAAGTAACTTTTTCTTTCTTTCTTTTCATGGAGATGGATGAGACAGACAGACAGAGTAGGTGATGGTGGAGGGAAGCAGGTTATGGGAGGCAGGACACTATTTACATCAGATTAGAGCACCCATTCACTCTCATCATACTTATTTGTTACACTTTTACATTAATTTATGGAAATTTTGGATTATCATTAGTCACTAATGTTTGTCTTTCCCATTGGACTAGAAGTTCCATGAGGGCAGGAATTCTTCTCTGTTTTTGCTTGTTTTATCCCCAGCACCTAGCACAGGGTAGATGCTCAGTAAATAAATGAATAGATGGATGGATGGATCTCATGATGGTATTGCCATTGCCATTGTGTGATTTTTCTTTTCTTTCTTTTTTTTTTTTTTTTTTTTTTTTTTTTGGTTGCGTCTCTTCAAATCTTTCTAAAAATCAGTGACTGTTATGATTGGCTGATCATTAGAATCTCTTGGACAACTTAAAAAATAGACAAAGATTTCTCTTTCTCTCCATCCCCCTGAGTCCTGACTATGGTTATTCTGAAAATGCTACCACACTGCATTTCTGATAGTGAATGAGGATTTAGAAATACTGATCAACATCGAGTCTTAAGAGTGTACATTTAGGGGCTGGCTCAGTCAGTAGATCATAGGATCTTGGAGTTCAAGGCCCACCCTGGGAGTAGAGCTTACTTAAAAAAAAAAAACAACAAAGGAATGTACATGTAATTCTTTTTTGTGTAGTGCTTTGTTCACATCTGTTGTAACACTTACGTCAGTGTATTATAATTAATTGTATCTGTTTTGTATGAAACTACGTGCTACAGTAGCATAGAGTTACTTTCCCAGTTTCTTTCCCAGTTACTTTCTGGCTCATGCAAAATCTGGGACCACTGAGACCGGAGGTTGGTCCAACTAGATGGTTTGGTTGTACCAGGCTAAGAGATAAGATCTCATTCTAAATAATGACAAAGGCTGCCATTGAGGGGACAATTTGGATCTGTCAAATATTTATGATCATTGTGTTAGTAACAAATAAAAGGTAAGATTAAGGAGTCAAGTTGCAAACAGAGGCTAGTTTTTATTCTGCTTCTCACAAAACCCATTTAATTAGGTCTGAAAATAATATTAACACATGAAGTAGGGATGAACGATAACAAGGTGGTGGTTATTTTTTTTATCATCTTTATGAAGTTGCAATCATGAATGATTAACTTCCTCCTCTTCTATTATTAAGGAAGAAAAACAGAAAAAGAAAATGGCTGCAAAGTTGGAACTAGCAAAATTTCTTCAAGAAACAATTACAGAAATGGCAAGGAGGAACAGGGCCAAGTTGGGAGACGCCTCTACACAGTTCTCATCCTACGTCAAACAGGTGTCAGTCTCTTTTGTAATACCAGACAACAACTTCCAGGCTGGCAGTTATATGAAAACTTCATATCATCATGGAGCTTCCAAATTGTTCATGGTCTCTGACTTTGCAGATACCTTAGTTATACAGATACAATACTGCAAACATTTAGAGATTTGCAGAAAAACCCATTTTAAAGCAGTCATGTGTTGAAGACGTTGATAACTTCATGGAAAGAACCGTAGATCTAGAGTCAGACTTGTGAACTACTCCTGATTTTTCAGTTGACTTAGACTGACTTGGACAGATTTCTCCTTTTTGTATCACAGGGCCGATTTCCAGACATAAGATAGAGTCTGTGAATGCCTTGATGTGTCTTTCAAATAGTCTACAGGGAAGGTTAAATTAAGTAAGAAATACATTTTAGGGGCACCTGGGTGGCTCAGTCGGTTGAGCGGCCAACTTCGGCTCAGGTCATGATCTCGCAGTCCATGAGTTCGAGCCCCGCGTTGGGCTCTGTGCTGACAGCTCAGAGCCTGGAGCCTGTTTCAGATTCTGTGTCTCCCTCTCTCTGACCCTCCCCTGTTCATGCTCTGTCTCTCCCTGTTTCAAAAATAAATAAAACGTTAAAAAAAATACATTTTAATGAACCTCTTTGTCTCATTGCCTAGGTTCAGACAGGCCACAAGCCCAGTACAAAGGAGATAGTTCGCTTTTCCAAACTGTTTGAGGATCAGCTAACCCTGGAACACCTAGACCGACCTCAGCTGGTCGCCCTCTGCAAACTACTAGAACTGCAGCCTTTTGGAACCAACAATTTGCTTCGCTTTCAACTTCTGATGAAACTGAAGTCTATCAAAGCAGATGATGAAGTAAGAGCTTAACTATAGCCATAGGGAATCAGCAAGGCATGGGAGATCCCTTAGGGTGGCTTTGTGATAAAGTGCAATATCTTCTCTTAGATCTTCTCTGGGACTGGTTCTGGCAAACCATTGAATGGTTTAAACAATCATTACCATGGCAACGTGAACTGTGATTACTCATTTTAGGAGTTGTTTGTCTTACTCTGACGCACTTTCTGGAGAAGGCCCTCACAAGCAGTTAGTAATTTAGTAATCTAAAGTAGTTAGGACCTGCTGGGAAGGAGCAGCAGCCCAGGAGATTCCTGAGAGTCTTCCATTGCTAAGGCCAGTGCTCTACCCCCACACCTCAGCTCACCTTCCTCAGAGCTGATGCCAGAGTAAATATTCTGCCCGGTGAGTTGGCCTGATAAGAAGGGGTGACAAGTCATAATGCAGAGAGGGGAAGCAGAGCCTGGACATCTTATGGAGGAAAAGGCACTGTAACTACTAATTAGGCTCCTTAAAAAATGGAAAGAATGTTTTTTGAGTCAGAATCAGCTGCTTTAAGGAAAGCATTCTGCCTGAGGGAGCAAGATTCCCAGAACTGAGAAAGCACCATCCCTTTGGCCTCATTTAGATTTCAGCTGTTGCTTCCAGAACTTTGGAATAAACAATACCGGTCCCAGAAGTACCGTAGTTTTGGGGCACAACAAGCAGAAACTGTTAGATATTGAGAGAGTTTTGTGGACCAGAGGTAGGGCTGTGCCCCAATGGGGGCGGGGTTGGGGGGAGAGTGATACTGGGACACGCAGCAAATGGTAACACTGAAAACTTTTTTTTTTTCTTTTTAAAAAAAAATTTTTTTTTTCAACGTTTATTTATTTTTGGGACAGAGAGAGACAGAGCATGAACGGGCGAGGGGCAGAGAGAGAGGGAGACACAGAATCAGAAACAGGCTCCAGGCTCGGAGCCATCAGCCCAGAGCCCGACGCGGGGCTCGAACTCACGGACCGCGAGATCGTGACCTGGCTGAAGTCGGACGCTTAACCGACTGCGCCACCCAGGCACCCCACACTGAAAACTTTTCAAGTGGAATATTTTCTGATGAAGCCTAAAGCTGCCACAAAGGGGAAGAGATGTCACAACCAGCCAAAATGCAAACCAAGAAGGGAAAGAATTACTTGGATGAGAGTGTTGGGGAGGAGTTATGGGACTCTGATACTATTAATACCTGTTGGCAGGATTCCCTTCATTTCCAACTGCTGCGCCTTTAGTCAGTGCAGAGGACAAGGTGTGAGAGATGTAGTGTTTCCCCTGATCTGTTGGAATTTAGGCGTTTGGTATGATTGGGATGGAAAGATCCAGTACCACTGCTTACGTTTCTTTCAGATAATTGCCAAAGAAGGGGTGAGTGCTTTGAGCGTGTCAGAACTGCAGGCTGCCTGCAGGGCCCGAGGAATGAGATCCCTGGGTCTCACTGAGGAGCAACTGAAACAGCAGCTCACAGAGGCAAGTAGCGGCTCTCCCGGGCCACTTTCACTAGAACTCTCTTCCCTGCGATTTGCAGACCTCACTTTGCAATGTCGACTTCTCAGGCGAGCCATCTTACCTTAGTTTGCCTCATGTAATTGAGCAGTGGGACACTGAAGCAGCTAGATTTATTTTGTTTTTAAGTTTATTTATTTATTTTGAGAGACAGTGCAAGTGGGGAAGGAGCAAAGAGAGAGAGGGAGAGAGAGAATCCCAAGCAGTCTCCACACTCAGTGCGGAGAGCCTGATGTGGGGCTCGAACTCATGAACCATGAGATCATGGCCTGAGTTGAAGTCAGATGCTTAACTGACTGAGCCCCCCAGGCACCCCAGAAGCTAGATTTACTTTTTTGATGGAGACAGGGTACTCTGTTAGTTTTCTGTTGCTGCTAAGAAACTACCACAAACTTAGTTGCTGAAAACAGCACCTGTTTGTTAGCTTACAAGTTCTGTCTGTCAGAAGTGCAAAGCTTCTCACTAGCCAGACCCCTGTAAGCTTCTCATCTCAGACTTCCCCTTTTTGACCTCTAGCTCCACATTTAGAGATCTCACGTGATTAGGCGAGACCTAGTTAGATAACTTCCTACTTTAAGGCCTACTGACTTGGGACCCTAATTATATCTGCAAACTCCTCCTGGCAGCACCTACATTCATGCTTGAATAACTGGAAGGAGGTGTGGGTGCACTGGGGACGGGGAATCTTGGGGCCACCTTAGAGTTTTGCATACTTCAGCTATTTAACGGGTTTGGGCAAAATCTCTAATCCAAGGCCTGTCATGTGTGAATCCACCCGGAGTTCTAAACCTTGCCCGGTGGCTCACCTGGGACCACTTTTCCAGTTAATGCCTCAAGCCAATGTAAAGCCTTGACTTTGGCAGCAGATGTTTCATAGTTTCCCTCAGACAACATATTTTAACTAAGAGCATCAATGTTTTCGAACAAAGGAGCAGCTCCTGTTAAAATTCTCATAACTGTAAGAAGTGCTATCAAGTGTACACGGAGTGTTTTGGAATGGGAGTCGCTGTTGTGGCTTCGAAACCAGGTCAGGTAGCTCTTTCCTCTTACATGTCGGACCTGCTCTGGCTGGAAGGTGAACATACTGTAGAGAAAGTTTCTTAAAATCATTTATTTCTTGAACATAGAGTATTGGGTGAGTTCATACTGTCAAATAGCTTTCTTGAGAGGGTGTATCATTTTTACCACAAGAAGTGAGGATACTAATCCAACAATATGACATCCAGCACTATGTATTATTTAAAAAATTCACCCAGAAGAGCTGGGTAGGCGCCAGTAGGTTAGCGTCGACTTCAACAACTCACGATCACCATGCGTCCATTGAGTTTCAACCAGCGTCAGGCTAGAACCTGGAGCCTCTTTCGATTCTGTGTCTCCCTCTCTGCCCCTCCCCAAATTAAAAATAAATAAGCGTTGAAAAAATAAATAAAAAAAATAAAAATTCCTTGTCACGAAGAAACATACGAATTGTAGCCAATCGGACGTTAGTTTAAAGCGTCGACTCTGGCTCGGCTCATGATCTCATGGTTCATGGAATTTCGACCCCTATGTGCTGACAGTTCTAAGAGGCGGGCACTTTATTTTTGGATTCTGTGTCTCCCTCTCTCTCTGCCTCTCCCTTGCTCACACTCTGTCTCTCTCTCAAAAATAAACAAACATTAAAAAAAATTAAAAAAATAAAAGTAAAAATTCCTGTGTTAGGATACAGGCAGACACTTTATAGAAAGGAAAATCTAAAAATGATAATCAGATGAAACATCTTAGCTTCATAATAAGATAAATTACAACTACGAGATATCCCCTTCACGTGGGCAAAGATCAGTCTGATGACACACTGTGTTGTTGAGGGTTGGGGAGAGGGGTGCTCATGCATTGCTGAGAAAAACCTCCACATAATCTTTCAAAATTTAAAAATGCATTTACTTTGACCTAGAAATTTCACTTGTGCAGTATGATGTATCAATAAGATTATCCATTGCAGCACCATTTATAATAGCAAAAGATTGGAAACAGCCTAAAGTTTATTAATAGGAAAATAATCAAATTGTGGCATTTCCATGCAACAATAGAACACTTAGTAGATGTTTAAAAAGAAAGAGGCAGCTCTATTAACTACTGATATGAATCAATCTCCAAGATATTTTAGTGGAAAAAAAAGCAAAGGGCAGAACAGTGTATATATATCATACTTTATGTAAAGATGAAACACCTATAAATTATGTTTGTATATTCACAGGACAACTGGTAACACTGGTTGTTTCTAGGGCGGGAAACAAGGTAGCAAAGGGTAGGAGTAGAAGGCAGGCTTATTGTTACTGATTACATTTTACTTTTTGAATTTTGTCTCTGGTCATGTATGATCGCTCTAATAATATTTAAGCTTGACCAATCTGGTTCTTGAAAATTACGTCTCATTTTCATTTTAAAGTTTATTTCCTTGGTTATGCATGAGTCTTATTTTTTCTTTCACATTATCTGCTTTGTGGCTAAGAAAAGATACTGAGCTGCTTTGATCCACAATTGGGTTGAAAGTTTAATGGAACACCCCCTCTCTCACTCTGATCCCACTGGTGTGAGGGGGTCGCACAGCACAACTACTGGCTCAGAAGCCCGGAGACGAGCATTATCCTTGTGCCGTTGTTTACCAGGGTGTGGCTGGGGAAGCTGTAAAACCAGGGAAGCAGTAGATGACTGTGGGTCATGTCCAGTTCTAACATTCTGCGATTCGATCGTGTTTTATCCTCCTCCCGTTCTCCAGTGGCAGGACCTCCACCTGAAGGAGAATGTCCCTCCTTCTCTGTTGCTCCTGTCCCGAACCTTCTACCTGATAGATGTGAAGCCAAAGCCAGTTGAGATACCACTAAGTGGGGAGGTGAGTACCTGGGTTTATGGAGTTTCGGGATTTCTGTTACTGGGGCCTCTCCGTAAATGTCTTATTTCCTCTTGCAGTTAGGGTAGACCTTTCTTTTGGAATATCTTTTGGAATTTGGTCCAACTGGCTTTAAAATCATTTTAGAATTCTTTAAAAAATTAAAATCATTAAAACTAGCTCCAGCTCTAGAGCTATTACTTTTTTTTTTTTTAATCCCAGCTTGATTTAGGAATCCCATTTATTCTTTCTCTTTAGCTATCTTGTCTTCAGCAGCAGACTGTTTTCACCACTTTCTGTTTTGAAACTAAATAGTCCCTGTTCTTTCGTGTCTATTTGTCCAGATTCCTATTAATTTTTAAGCAGTGAATGGCCAATCTAGAATGTAAACTATTTGTTTTCCTTCAACTCGTTTCCTTAATCATTTTTTGTTGCCTTTAATTCAGCAGTTTTTTTTTCCCCTCCTGGTATTTTACTGAAAAACCCAGGATGGGCCCAATCACTAGAGCATCTTGCTCTGATCAGAAAGGACCTCTTGGGGCACTTGGGTGGCTCAGTTGGTTGAGCGTCGACTCTTGATTTTGGCTCAGGTCATGATCCCGTGGTTGTGGGATTGAGCCCTACATCAGGCTCTGCACTGAGTGTGGAGCCTGCTTAAGCTTCTCTCCCTCTGCCCCTCTCTCCCACTCGCGATCTCTTTCTTTAAAAAACAGAAAGGGACTCTCACTTCTCTACTTTGTGGCTTCACGTCTAAGTCAGAACCTACGTGGGTAAGAAAGGAGAGACCATTACAGAAGACGCTGCACATGTGGTTTAGTGAAGTACTCTGGATTGGGGACCAATCATTTTTAATTTAGTTAAGCTAGTGATTCCTCGGACAAGCCAAGGGATATTAGATGAATTCCAGCATGAAAAATGTACTTCAGGGAACACCACCTTGCTTTTCCTTTCCATATTTCCAGAGACTAATCAGATTTGGGCTTTGTCTGGGAAGGACCCTGGGGAGAGTAGGAACAATTTTGGAACCCAGACCATGTTCTAAAAGGCAGCCTACCTGATTCTTACTCTATCTTTGGTCATTAAGACAGAACAAATTTGTCATTCTTAGACTGTTCTCAGGAGCAAGGAAATCTTGGAATAGTGTAATATCTCAGAGCTAAATTTGTATTTCCAGAATTATTCTAGAGGGGCATAAGCCCTTTATCCAGATGCTGCTTTCTAGAATGTTTGAGAAAAACCTAGAAATCAAGGACAAAATGACAAGCTCCTAGGCATTTTATTAGTTTTTTTTTTTAAATCCACGTCTTTAAACGTCTATTTTCCATATATACAAAATGAGAATAAGTAGCATGCTAGGTTCTGTAAAGACTTTAGAGACATCAAGTTAAGTATACTATAATTTAGGATATATGTAGCTTTTTTCCCTCCAAAGTGCACAAAGAAATTACTTATTTCCAAAGAGCAGTGACATATTTACTTTTCAAATCTAATTAATATAATTCTTGAAAGTAAGTTAGCCAGCTATTCTAAAATACCATCCCTTACATTTTCCTCATGTTGCAGGAGCTTCTCTTAAGCAGCACCTACCATTTTAATAATTCAGACAAATTTATCACTTACTATTAGACACCAAGATGATAAAGATGTCAATTTTGACTAAGTTATATCAATGCCATTAGAAGCTGATGAGGGGCGCCTGAGTAGCTCTGTCAGATGAGCGTCCTACCCTTAGTTTCGGTTCAGGTTACTCTCAAGATTTGTGGGTTCAAGCCCCCTGTTTGGCTCAGGGCGGAGCCTGCTTGGGATTGATTCTCTGTCTCCCTCTCTCTCTGTCCCTCCCCTACCCACTCTCTCTCAAAAATAAACAAACATTAAAAAAAAAAAAAAAAAGCTGATGAATGATTGTTGTTGAGTGAGAACAGGATCAGAATTGACAAATCAGGAGCTTGTTCATAAATGGGGATTTTTTTTTTTCAGATTTTACTTTTTAAGTAATTTCTACACCCAACGTGGGATTCAAACTCACAACGCTCAGACCAAGAGTCAGTCACACACTCCACCAACTGAGCCAGCCAGGTGTCTCAATGACTGAGGATTTTTAATACTAGGATCTCCTTAGGGTGCAACTTTTGTATATAGGGTGCTCATAATTCAAAGATAATAATACTAAGTTGCTATTTCAGGGACATATTTCATATGTTCTCACAAAGGGTATAGTTGGAAGAAGCCAGGGATTTAGTGGAAAGCAAGTTGTGCTAGAAAGCATTTATTACTATAAGTGCTTCTGAGTTTCAGGAATAACAGAAAGCTTATGTTTATATAAAATATCTCTCTTCCTAGTCTCCAAAGATGGATATTCCTGTGGAACCAGCTACTTCTCCTGAATCTAAAGAGAACCTGCTGGATGTAGCACCTCCACTGAAGGGAACTAAGGTTGGACAGTTACTTTTCATTTGATTAAAATGAGAACAAGTTTAAAAATGAGAACAAGTTAACATATATTTTTAAATCCCTCAATGAAACTGTATTTGAATACAGTGGTGTTCTTTAAATAAGGAATATTTATTGTACTAACAGATCTATTTGTAAGAAAGGTCAACATTTGGCTATATGCAATTAGGTTCCAAATGTAGCCTCTTGAATCCTGTGCCAAAATATGTCATTGTTACAAGTTCCTGGCAGTCATGGCAGTGTGACTATAGATCTAGTACACATTTTGTTTTAAACCCGTAACCTAACTCTCAGTTCTGATGTTTAAGGATGAGGAATGTATACAACTGCCCCCAGTTACCTCATCGTCCATACTGCCATCTTCACCTGTTTCATTACCGAAAGGACTCATCCCTTCTGCTAAAGAAGCTGTAAGTGTCTGAAAAAAGAAAGCCTTTTCTCTCTGGCTATTTTTAAGGGCAGGGAGAATCTAGAATTGTAACTATTGCAAAACACTGCACAGTTCTTCCTGTCCTCCAAACAGGAAGTTGTAGGCTGAACTTTAGTCATTTTATAACCACTAACATTTTTAAAACTCGGTTATCGAAAAGCGAAACAAAACAAAACAAAACACCTTATCAACCAATGCAATCGTGGATCAGGACTAAACATGTTAAGTCTAGAAGCTAATTACAATATAGGCAGATTCTTATTTTCTTTTGTGCCAGATGGAAATAGTTCCCATATGTTGTGTATCTCACACAGGCTTCAGATGTCAGGAAATACTAGCAGGAAAGCAATTTAAATCTTAGGAGAAATGCATGTAAATAAGAAATTACTTACTATCCATTTCTCCCATTTGGGTGAAAGAATTTGGGGCAAGAGCAGAAGCATGACACAAGTAAGTGGGGGGGGGGGGGTTCATGGGAAAGTTGGACGGTGACTGTCTCCACTGGCTCCTGACCACCAAAGAAGAGAGCCAGCGAACATGCAGACATCTGGGGGTGAACATCCAGGGGCCTTGCTTGCAGGGCTCCCCCTTTAAAATTTTTAAATTTTTATTATCAAGGTAAATTATAACCTTGGATCTGACTTTATGGTCTGTCATTATTTGATTAAGAAAATACAAGAGGGACTCCTGAAGAGCTCACACATCTGACTGTGACCAGTGCCTAAAGTCCTTATGTTTTACACCTAGACACTCCAGGTCAAATCCCAAAAGACAACCCAGAACAGCAAGGCTAGTTCAAAAGGAGCATAAGGACTACTGAGGACGAAGCTCACTCTCTCCAGCTCCCTGCCCTCCGCAGTGGCATCCATAACGGGCCGCCCAGCTAAGACGATCTGTGTCTGGTTTGAGAAGAGATCAGCCATTTCGTCCTTGGGGCCTTGTAACCATCCAGATGATGTCAGCAGTGAGACCAAGTTCAGACCGTTTAGAAATATAATTGCAAAGCCAACTTCCTCTGTACCATTATGTCATCCCACTAAACTTTGTGTAAAGCCCCCTCCCCATGTTATTTTTGAACAGCTTCGTATTTGTGTGCGTGTCCTCTACGGAAGGAAAGTTTTCACATAATGGAATCAGCTTGGCACCTTAGATAGCTTGAGTGAGAACTTGGAAACTCCAAAACCATTGTAAGACCACCTCACTTTTCCAGTGATCCATCAGTATGAATAGTGCCCTGGAAACAGAGCACCTTATGAAATGGGATGGATGTACTCGCCGGTAAAGTCTTTCTGGATATAAAGAAGAAAAAGCTCTTCGGAGAAGAAAATGGGGAGTTAAGCAGACTGGCAGTCCAAAAGGCTTGGCTGCTGCTTGGCTGTTCTGAGACGTCCCCCTCTGGGGCCTGCAGAGGCTCCAGGAATCTGGGAGGCTGCCACTATTCCAGCACATGTGGCTTTCATTAGCCACCATTTTGCCAGGAAACCTAATTAAGGGTTTAAGACTTAACCATTTGTCTGTGCTGGGTGTATGTTTTTCTAGTCTGTCTTCTACAAACAAGACTATTTGTTGGTCATAGGGGTTGTTAAAGTTTGATATAATCCCTGTGCTACCCAGTAACAAGTATTATGTTCAGATATTTATGTTTGGTGTGTTCACGATTATTAATACTGAGAAAAAAAAAAAAAAAACAACCTTAACATAATAGATTGCCATGCAGCTGACCCAACAGCTTTCTTCCCTTGGGGAATGCTTAGAAAGAAAAGATACTTTGGCCCGGGGGTGATGAAATTAGTTTTCTTTGCTTGCTGTGAAATTGAAAGCGGTTAAGTGGAAGTCAGTTAAACCAAGTAAAACTCAAATCTCTCTCTCTGGGATCACTTAAGTGAGGACTGTCATCAGCACTTCACAGCAAAGATCTGTACCTTACAATGCTTTTTAAGCCTCCTCTCCCCCAGAGGAAAAGCCCCACCACAGCCTGCTAAATGATGAATCCCTACTATACAGGTTCCATGGATTTTGCTGTTGGCCCAGTAAGGTGATTCACAATAAACTTTCCCATTTTTAAAATGACGGGCGTTTGTTTTAATTAGCTCACATTCAAGTGTTAAAGGTGGGAAAGGGCCTAGCTAGTCAACTTGTTCAATCCTGTTTAAGCTGAATGATTCATAAATACTGTTGGCTGTTCTCCGGTTCTTTCTGGCTTTCCCTGTAAGCAGAGTGGGATTGGTTAGGTCAAGGGGCCCCTGGGCAGTTCTGGCCCCAGCTGGCCCTCACCCATCTTTTTTCTACATCTAGGCATCTGAGACACCTGATACAGCCCTCTTCCCGTTCTTAGGATAGTGGCTCAGAGAAGTCAAGGATGTTTCTTTGGGCTCATCATCACACAGCACTCTTGGCTGTCAGGCTCTATGTGATTGTTACATCTATCCCCGTGCTGAAACCGAGCTGGTGTTCTGGCAAACGATTAACAACCAGCTCTGGCTGGGTGTGAGGGGGTGCCCTGATTTGTAGCACTCGATTTCAAACTGCCAACAGGCGGTCACTGAAGAAGAGTCAAAGGTGTGCACGATCAGCTCCAACACACCACCGGACCCCAGCCCTCCTTGAGCAACAAGGGGCAAATCTGTAGTTGGCAGCATGTTCATTAAATGTGTCACTTGTGCTCCAATCCAAGCATCTGGGAGGCAGAGCGGTATACATGGCCCTGAATATGTTAGGTGCCAATCTAATGAGAACTTGCCCCAGACCGAATCTTCCAGAACAGCTGGGTTCTTGCTCACCTTCCGTCTCTCATCGACTGAGGGAATGGAAGGCTATGCTGGGCTGCTTGCTACAAAGCCCGCTTTCCTGCTCTCCATTCTTCCCTGCAGAGGCAGCTGCCTCAGCTGCGCCGGTGCTCATCATCTCACTGGGGACGATTTCAGGCAATTTTTAAAACCAAACCTCGGTGGTGAGGTCGGCTTCGGCCTGTGTCTCCCACATAGAGGATTTTGCTACAACAGGGAGAGAGGTGCTGGTGGTACTTGACTTTTAGGACCTGCACTCGTGCCAGGACTTGAGTCGTTACAATACCAGTCATGTTGGTGACATCAAATAAATGCTCTGTAATGCTAAAACCGAGGCTAAAGATTTCCCAGTCACCACCAGTTCACCGTAGGTGAGGTCAGACTAAGGCAACTTCAAAGCAGGTTGGCTGCCGAATGTGAATGTCGACTGAGAGTTTGGCCTGCTGGCTCCTCCCAGTGGCAGCCGATAGTCACAGCGGCTTCACGGTCCTTGAGACAGATTTCTTGCTTCCTGAGGTTCCATCTTTCTTACTTGAGATCGATATCGTACATTAGTGGTACCGAGGGACTGATGACCCTCAGTCTGTGGCAATTAGAAAAGGTGGAAAGGCAGTATTGATGAATGCTGTGGTGGTCCCAGGCCCTAATCTTTTAACCCTCAGGAAACCAGAGATTCAGTGCCTTGACAGCACGACGTCTTCATTAGATAAACTGGATTCCTTTCCTCAGGAGACCCAATCTGGTTATCTAAGTAAAATGGCCACTTCATTTTCTCTCCGGTCAATTTTACTATCTTTTATTTGACAGCTAGCTCAGTCTCTGGGGAAATCTGTGGGTGATTTTGAGTAGTAACAGCAAGGACATCACGGTTATCATAACAGTGCCTTCTCTTTCTCTGGTACCTTTCCCAAAGGCATCTGAAGCTCTTCACAGGTCCTCCATCCACTCACATAACATTGCTTCGAGGGAGGGCCAAGGCAGAAATTATCTGTACTTTACAAGGAAAGACACCACTCTAAGGTCTCAAAGCAAATGGTTTTAAGATCAGAAATTCATTTCCTGGCTCTTTGCACCAAATTACGCCTTTAAGCATAAACACAAACTGTAACATGTTGACAGACGCATATTTACAGAGAGACACAAGGATAAGAGAGAACTTTACACAATAGTGGCCAACACCGCAGCTGCCAAAACATAGCTAGCTTAGAAAGGAGACTTAAAGCAGCAATCCCATTTGCCCTGCAGAAATGAAAGTGAATCGAACCTTCTTTTTGTATTTAGCAATAATCCAGCAAAGAGTAAGCTTTGGGTATAGAGGCCGAGTGGTAGCAGGTTGAGTGCTAACGTTCCGAGGAGCAGGGATCCACGCGTGGAACGCAGCAATAACCAGCAGGTGGCAGAGAGAGTAAATTTCCAAGCAGCCAAAATCCACACATTCAGAGAATTTTTTCCCTTTCCTGGGGGATGGGGTGGAGTTTGTACAGGAAGAACTATAGGAAGCCAAGATCTGTGGTAGTTCCAACACATGAAGTCGGTCACAGACACAGGAAGCACGATGTGGGGGACCGCCATGAACACAGTAAGCCAGGAAACATGAAGCAAGGGACCCGAATGTAAAGCTGATCTTAGGTGACAAGCTTTCCCCCACATAGAAGCACAGACAAAACCACACCCACATAAAGGGGCAGATGTATATCTGGGTTTGAGTTTCTGCAGGCCCTTGGTGGAGTAATCCTTAGCTCTCCTCTTAATCACTTAGCTCTACCTCTTGGCTATTTCCCAGGGAGGCCCCCAGCTCCCCCTCTGACCCCCCAACCCCACCAACCCCATCAGTTTCCTCTGAGGAAACGATCTGTGGTTGAGGGCGGTGGGGCCTTGGCTCCGGGCCCAGCACCTCTGGTGCACTGATGGGAGGTTCCTGCCCATTACACACACATCGATGCCTTTCCAAAAGCATCGGAGGGATAGGAGGTTTGTGGCGGAGGTCTCGGTGCAGGACCCGAGGGGAAGAGATTTAGGAGGGAACTGCAGGGAACCTGTGGCGCCCTCTGCACAGACACAGCCCCAGGGCCCCATTAGGCTCACTCCTTTTCAGCTGACATTCTTTCCCTCGTCACACAGCCCATATAAAAATGAAGCAGCAGCAATTTTTATTGAGGGACCTAAACTGAAAATAGGTTTAGAACATAATTTAAAAAAATAAAACAGCAAAAGTAGCAAAAAATATATGACCTTTTTAAAAACATTTTCCTTTTTTTTCTTTTTTCTTTGTTTTTAATATATAGCAACTGATGCCTCCCAGCCACCAGGAGCATCTTACCCAATGGGTAAATCTCTGGTAACGACCCTTTTAAAAAGACATGTAAATATATACTCAGATTTATACACTTTGTGTTTTCTTCATAGCTATGTACAAAGCCCCCAGTTTGGGGCTGGGCCCCAGGGCCACGACACTGCTCCCAGCCTTTGCCTCCCCCTCCTCTGGTACCAGGTATTTGGTCAGCAAAGCGAATTAGTATCGGAATTAATAAGCCACTGGCACCATCTATCTGGAGCAGAGGCTGCCTTCAGCCGAGGCCCGGAGCACGGACCTCCCCTCACCACCGCGGTGGCCATGAGGATGAGGCCCCCGCCACCGGAACTCAGGCTTACGGGTTATTCGAAGCAGACAAAACCAACATGGGAAAGCTCAGTCAGCTCTCGCCTGCACGCCTGCTCATCTCCCACTCCCCAGCCCTCCAGGCAGTGCCAGGTGGTGGGGAGGGTCTTGGTCCAACATCTGGGAGGGAACGAAGTGGCCATGAGCAAGTACCTGCCTCTCTGCTCCTCTCTCTCACAAGCAGGTTGTGAGGAGGAGGAAGAGAGGTGAACTCCATGGGGTGAAGGCCTCAGGTAGGCAGCCAGCTCCTGCCAGCAGGAAAGGGGCAGAGGGGAAGGCAGTGAGTCCCGCAGGGAGGGGTGGGTGAGGGTTACAGCTGACGATGGAGTTCGGGGATGGGAACTGGGGTGCTAGTCAGCGCCGTTTGAGTCCGCCATTGGCAAGCTGGGCTGGGTGTCGGGGCAGACAGGGCTCCTCAGGCAACGGCTCATGAGAGAAGACGGAATCCTCCCCTGAGGAGCAGGTAGAGCTTCGGGTGTCGGGAAAGCTGGGAGAGTATTGGTCCAGGGGCATTGACAGGTCCAGATACTCCTGTGAAAGGAGACACAAAAGATCCGGCACTCTCCTCCCTGTGGTAGTGTTCATTCACAGAGATGCACCTAGTTGATGGTGGCTGAAGGTCTAGGATAGGACTGCCTCACCTGGTTGGAGGTCAAGGCCACAATGCGGTCCAGGTCTTCCACCAGCTGCTTGAAGGTAGGTCTCTGAGAGGGTACTGCATGCCAGCAATCCCGCATCATCATGTATCTGGGACAGGATTGTTGAGTCAGGGGAGGAAGGACATATGCAGACAGATTAAAGAGCTCACAGCGAGGGGCCATGGGAGGAACGACCAGGAAGGGCTACTTGATCCACCTAAGCCCCTTTCTTCTCCCCTTCATCCCCAGGGCCTGGCTCAGGACCTCAAGTGTCTTCCCATGCTTACAGCTCATTGGTGCAGTTACTGGGCTTGTCCATTCGATGACCCTCCTTCAGCAGCTTGAAAAGCTCCTCCACAGGCACGCCAGGATACGGGGAGCCTCCCAGAGTGAAGATTTCCCACAGGAGCACCCCAAAAGACCAGCTGTGGGTGAGCACAGAGCCACTGGGTCTTACGGGCACAGAACTCGGGCAGCCTAGAACCCTCTCCATCTCTCCACCAGCACGTCATCCTGAACCCACCCTCCCGGAGCACAAACTCTTCAGGGGGACGCCAAGGGCAGTGCTGGAGAACAGACTGGCCTTTCAACCTCTACTGAGTGAACAGAGTAGGTGCGCACATACAATGTTTCCTTCGTTCTGAGATGGAAAGAGGGCCCCCCCCCCACCCCCCATCCAGAGGGGTATGCTCTATACCAAATATCCCCGGCAATCTCTTCTTTCAAACTCACACGTCACTCTGGTGGGTGTAGATCCGGTCAAACAAGGCCTCGGGCGCCATCCACTTCACAGGCAGACGGCCCTGCAAGCAGCACAAGGGAGGTTGGGGGTGGCCCAAGACAGGGCAGCGTGGGGACCAGCAGGGGCACACACAGGACGGGGCACACGCTCGGCTCATCCCAGCACACTGCTTCTCAAGCAGGGCTGCCTGCGCTGGGTCACAGCCAGGAGATGTAAGTAGGAGGAAGCCTAACAGGGCAGAGGCCTGGGCCGAGGACCAGCGCCCAGTTCCGTCCTCAGCACTTACATTGGTTGTCTTTTTATAGTAGTCGATGTGGTGGATGTCCCGAGCGAGCCCGAAGTCTGCGATCTTCATCACGTTGTCCTCTGTCACCAGGACGTTCCTGGCGGCCAGGTCTCGGTGTATGCACTGTGCAGAGATGAGGTGGGATGCGGGTGAGGGGCTGACAGTGCCCAGCTGTCGGTCAGCCTCTGGCCCAGCCGTGACGCTGCAGCAGGCAGGTGGCCCAGGTGCCTTTACAGGCCTTCTCCTGCCACACCACTTCCCCCTGACCATTCTAGTTCACTGTTAGGAGGTCCCTCTGCTCCACTTCAAAGTCAGCCATTCGAACACCTCCGGCTCCAGGACTCTCAGTCACTTGAGCAAACCCTCCTCACGGGTCTCCTTCGCACCCGGAAAGGCGGAACCTGGATGCTTCTGTCCAGTCTGTGTAGGTGTGTGCTCTCAAACAAAGCATCCGTTTACCAAGCACTAGAACTGCAGTTAACACTGTCACGAACAACTTCATTTTACCCACAACATAGGACTCCCCATTCTTACTCTACATTTGGAGATATGTAAGTAGCTGCACAGAAAAGGGGCAGTGTGCACGGATCAGAACGTTATCCCGTCTGACCAGAAGGCCACCAGGCTCTCCTGCCGACGTCCCTGAGAGCCGCAGACAGCACAGGGAAGCGGTGCTGCAGACATCTACGACCCCACCAGAGGATTAAAAGTCATCAACTGGAGTGCAAGGAGGGCTCTGTTCCCACCCCAACTTTGCCCAGGGGAACCTTCAGGTGCCACACCTTCTTGGAGGCGAGATACTCCATGCCTCGGGCCACCTGATAGGCACAGGAGACCAGGTCCTTGGAAGAGAGCTGCTCCTCTGGGTTGTGGCTGGGGTTATAACAGTACTCCAGCCCTGGGGGCCGCCGGGCCTGCAGGTATTCCCGTAGGTTGCCTTTGGAGGCATACTCCACGATGACGTACAAAGGACCTGGGAGCACGGGGATGGACAGGCCATCAGGGTGGGCAGGCAGGTGCTCTGGGTCAGCTCCACCCTGAGGAAACCCCACCCCCAACTGCACACCACGTGTCTGTCCTCCAATCCTAACTGCACCTCTAGGGAGCCTGGGAAATTCAGTCCACTACCCAAAGAAAGCTAGGGAAGTGGTTCTTCCTAGCATACACTAGGAAGTTCCTGAGCCAAGCTGGGTTGGGGGAGGGAGGTAAGAGCCCTAATTGAGACCACAAGGACTCACCTGGTTCTATCTACACACTGTTCTCAGATGAGCACCAACAGGCACAAGCCCAGCCCCCGAGAGGTAACTCCCAACTGCTGCTAAGCTGGACCCCGTTCCCTCAGTGTAGCTGAGATGCCTGCTCACTGATACCCCCAGCTCGTGATCTCCTCCCCGACAGACACTGTTATCCGTGGGAGGCCCGGGTTCCCGGCTGGGGTGGGAGAGCCGGCCTGGCTTAGCGCCTACCATCCTGCGTGCAGGCCCCCAGCAGGTTGATGATGTTCTTGTGCTTCCCGATCATCTTCATCATCTCCATTTCTGAGATCAGGTCTGACAGGTCTTTCTCTGTTGCGTCCGCTTTACACATAAACCAGAAGGGCATGAGACTCATTTATGTGGGAAGGAGGACAAGAGGAGGAAAGCTAAGGGAGAGGGGATGAGGTGTATGCTCAAGGAGTCCCTGTCCTCCGGACTGGCTTCTCTCCTCCCTGTTTCACACCCAAATCTATTTTCCCTTCCCTCTTCTGAGAGCGGTTGTTGGCAGTATGTGCTAACAAGTGGGACGGAGGATATGATAAGAAAAACCAGCCGGCAGCGAGATCTAGAATAAACACCTGGCCACCACCCAGACTGACGCCGAGGAACAAAGTGAGATCATGGCAATCTCGGGGTACGGAGTGCCCCTCCACTCCCAGGAGACGCCAAGCAGGCAGTGCAGCCGGTGTGGACGGTGAAAGAGCACCGGAGAGTGTGTTCTATTTGGTCCGAGGTAACAGTTTGCTCGGAAAAGGAAGGGATTGTTTTTGCAAGGACAGAAACATCACTTACACTTCAACATCTTCACAGCCACTTTGGTCACACGGTTGGGTTTGTCCTTGTCCAGCCCGATGGCCTCTGCCAACACCACCTGCCCAAAGCAGCCCTCTCCCAGGGGTTTGCCTAAAACCAGCCTTTTAGGAAAACAAAGGGTGGTGTGAGTCAGGACCGGTAAAGTTCAGGCCTTAAGAGGGCACCCCCTTTCCACCTGTCCATATTCCACTCGACTGAGAACAGAAGTGTCAACTATGATTTCTGGAGGCATCTGGTATACCTTCACTCCAAGCAGGGAACTTCCTCAGAAGTTGAAGTTAGAATATTACCTGTCTCGAGGCAGCTCCCAGCGTGGATCTTCAGGAAGCTCATATTCAGAGACCCCAGCCAGCATGGGGGTTCCGCTAGAGGAGAGACGTGAGGGCCGAACCAGCAGAACCCCAGAGTTCATGGAGGCACTAGAATCAGCCGACACCTACAGGGAAGCGTGGGGTCACCCTTCTAGCGAGCATAGGGTGGGGGGTTGGGGGGACTGAGCAGCAGCAGCAAGTTCCTGCAACTCTTAGGGCTTTCCACCAACATGGCAGAGGTATCTGGTATCTGATGTTCCTTCTCTAACACAGAGTGACAGAAAGACCACAAAAGGTCTGAAGGCCTAAGTTCTAAAACTAATTTTTGCCACCGGCCAGCCTTCTGTGTTCACTTACCTTCAACACAAACAGACCAAGTCTACCTCTTCCAGACTGATTATTTTATAACTTACTATTGCAACCACAATTCTATTCCTGTTCCCATTCTTTGTGAAAACCCTGCCTCAAATTATGGATTCCTAACCCCCAAAGCACCTTCCAGAATTAGCACCGCTCTGAATGAATGTTCCCTCTCTTCCACACGCCTTCACCCTCTGTTCCATTTCCTTGGACAAGAGGAGGGTAGCATCCTGGAGAGGAGAGAGAGGCAGTCTGGCACCTGACTCAGGCCCTCTTCTGTACTCTGTATCTTTGCACCTGTAGCTGGCTCTCAGGGACAGTTCAAAAGTGCAATATCAGATGCACATTCAGCCTGGCTAGGGCCTTCTCCCAAGCCATGTGCTGGAGGAGCAGGGGGCTCGCAGTTCTGGTACGGTAGGTGTACGGAATCCATGGGCTAGCACAGCCTGGAACCCAACTCTGGAACACTTAGGACATTCCACTGCCTCTGGCCCAGAAGCTAGAAAGCAAAGCTGGAAGCGGTAGGTTGGGGACAGAGGAGGGCAGGGCATCAGAATCCTGGAGAAGCCCCTGCGGGCACAGGAAGGAAAGGAGATATAGAGCGTGCAAATCCCCTATCTACTTTCTGTTACCTGTCTGCGCAGAGGGATGCTCTTGGCCAGCTTATGCACGGCCATCTGGCTGTGGAAGTCGCTTTTCTTGGTGCCACTCTTCATTTTGTAGATGATGACAGACCCCACCATGCAGGAGATGAGGAAGGCCCCCGTGCAGTAGATGATGATCTCCAGGTACAGGGGCGAGGTCATCACCGCCGGCCTCTCTTCCAGGGCTGAGTCAGTGTGAACACCATGTTAGCAGGCGTGTTAGCAATGCGCTAGGCTTCCAGCTTCATAAGAAAAACAACCCCCATCTCCTTTCCTCTGAGAATTTTCAGGGCAGAGAATGAACCAAGCCAGGTCCTAGCTGGGACTGTGGTCCAGCATGGAGCAGATCAGATATCCTACCATCTTTGAGTCTTCCTGATCCTGACTTGGATCCCACAAGAGGGATGGATTAGAACCATCTTTTAACTTGAGGCCCATCCTCATTCATTCGGTCAGGAGCCTGCCTCGTTCAGTGGAACCACTGGGCTCGGTGGGTACCAGGTACGCAACAAGGACCTTCTCAGTCGCCTCATGGAAACATGGCCCTTCTCCACAGGGCCCCAGCATTGTGTGCCTACACCTATCACATGCGACACAAGGAACCATCTGTCTTTGGTCTCTGACAGCCCATGAGCACCCTGAGGGCAGGAGCCCGGCGCCTTGTTCATCTCCACGTGCCACAGCGCCTAGCATATAGCAACACTCACATAACGAGAACAAGAGGGGAGGGAAAGGAGGACCCCAGTCAGTGTCCTGACCATTCCTCACCTCTTGCCTATTTCACCTGTGTCAGGTCAGACCTGCAAATATTCCTACCTACATGCCTAGCTGAACCATAGGCAGAACTGCATTTCCAACCATGTCTGGGCTGCTTGAGATGAGAACGTAAACTTTGCTGCACTTTGTAAGAATTCTACTCACAGGCCCTAACTCCTGAAACTGAACGAGGACATGGGGTGGGGGTGAGGGGTGGGGGGGGAAGAAGGTACTGTTGTATTGTCATCTCCCACTTTCCATTTAGAACGCAGCCCGTTTCCCACAGAAGCCCATCCAGCTGAACCCACCCTTCCCTCGCATACGAAGCCGAAGCTGAAGCCGGGGGGCTTCACAGGACACTCCTTCGCCACCAGCGGGAACGCCCCTCTTCCTTGCATGGCTTTCCTCCCAACCCTCCCCTTCCAAAGACCCCAGCCAGCCACAGAGGCTGGCATGCCAGGGACCTCCCCAGAGAGGCACTAGGTGTGACCCCAGACAGAGCCCCAAGGGACTCCCGAGCCTGACAAGGAGACAGCAGAGCTGATAATAAGAGGAAGTGTTTCTGTTTTTCTCTTTTCCCAGTATGGACGGACGAAGACAAGTGACTGGGAGCACACACAGGACAAAGACAGTGACAGGGTAAAAACAGAACGCTTCTCCCCTGAAGGAGGGGTGTTCTCAGACCCTGCTGGGCGAGCAGGGCGGAGGAAGATGGAGGGAGAGAGAGGAAGGCAGCGTCAGCGGCAACAGGAGCGGCACAGCCCCCAGACCCACGTGCAGGACACTCGAGAAGCAGCGATGGGCAGCCCACCACCTGAGCAGGCCGCAGGCTCCTTCCTTCCCAGCCCCACACACAGACCTCCCCTCTTGAGAGGAGAAACGTCAGTAGCCCAAGAGGATAAGGGGGCACCACTGTGTCCCAGGCGGCCTTACTTTATTCAGAGCTCAAGTTCACTCATGTGGATGGAACCTCTCCTCCAAGATCAGAGGATGGCAGGGTGGGCTAGCACTGTTCTCTGTAAGCAACAAGCCCCTCTTTACAGAATGCCTACATTTGGTGAGGGGAGGCATGGGCCCGAGACTTGCGGAGCCAGCAAAAAAGGATCGGACAAGTTGGGGAAGGCTGCTGGACCCAAGGAGGGAAGGAGCCTGGCCGGCAGGAGAGCCCGGCTGCAGGTTAACTCCAGATCCCACGCATGCATCGCACTGGCCAAGGGGAGAGGCAGACGCAGGCATAGAGGTGGGAGGCCTCTGTGTTCCTGCAAAACGAGGACAGATCCTATGTGAGCTGAGAGGATTCGACACTCAAGGTTGGACAACCTGCCAGGGCCATTCCTCTACCTCTCCTGGCTCTGTGTCTCCACCAGCCCCACAATGCATGCTCCCCCCGTGCCCGTGGCGAGGGCAGGACATCGAGAGGAGAAGTACAGTGTATACCTTCCAAAACGGTCAACCATGCAGAGTGATGGGACAGTCCGATAGAGTTACCCGCCAAGCACGTATACTCCCCCGCGTCCTCAAAGGAGACATTCCTTAAGTGAAGCACTTCCATCTCTTTGTCGGTGGTGTTAACTCCGGCAGTCTAGAAGAGACAACGGAAGCAAAATGGACAAGCGCAGGACATGAGACCTCTAAGAGACACACAGGAAGGGAGGGAGGAAGAGAAGGGGGGGAAAACCGGAGGAAGAAATGCTCCCCAGCGTCTCCTTTGCAACAAGGAACAAACAAAAACCACCAGGCAGCGAGACCTGTTAGAGGAAGACAGTGAAACCCTGAGGGAGGGACTCCGCAGACCTGAGACGACGCTGGCTGGTTACAACCCTTCACCAGACGCTGGCAGCCCCTGGCCCATCCAAGCATGCGGGCGGGCAGTGGGCAGCATGGAGAAATGGGGCCCGGCGGCGGGGGGGTGCTGCTTGGTTTCTGGTAAAGAAAGTCAGAGGGCACACACAGGAGGGATGGAAGGGTGCTGCAATCACGCGTACACACACACACACACACGTACACGCACACACGCACGCACGCGCACGCACACACACACACATGCGTGCACGTGCCCTGCCAGTTTGCAAGGGGACATCTGGCCCCTTCTCCACCATTCAAACCTCAGTCTGTAGCATCATTCACCACGCAGCCAGGCTGTCCCCACAAGTACGCACATAGCCAAGGAGGACACAGAAGGCACAGAGGGAGCAGACACCAACACAGTACCAAACCAAAGCAGCCTCCCAGGCCGGGTATTTTTCCATGGCTCTGGGCTCTAGAAATACAGCAGGATAACAGGGAGAGTTGGGTGCTGGCTTCCCCATCTGCCCCAGCAGCTTGGGGCCTGAATCAAACTCCCAGCACACGGCCCCATCCATCTTCCCATTACCTTTTGCCACAGGTCTGGTGACAGTGAGCCACGCAGACTGGTTAGCTTCACCAATATAATTGGAAACCTTACACACATACTCCCCGCTCTGGGCCTCTGTCACATTGAACAGGGTCAGCACCTCCGCATCCGAGCTATTAATCCCCGAATGCTAGAACAAACCAACGACAAGCCAGTCAGTGGGGCAAACACTGAGACGTGGCCACACTTGCTCCCATGTAACATTAAGGCAGGCCCAGGGAGCTAAGGCGAGGGAGACGTTAGTGAGATTTGTCATTTCTCTTTTTAGTAGGACAAAACAAGTTGACTTCAAAGGCCCAAAGCATCTGACTGAAAAATAAGCTTTAAAAAAAAAACAAAACAAATCGCTGCCCCCAATCAAACATTCTGTGTTAAACTCACTCCTCCAGGTCTAGGCCAGGGATTGTGAATGGAGACTGTGGCCAAGGGCCAAGGCCACGGACTCATCTCCTTCACAGCAGGCTTCAGCACCAATAGTGAAGAAAAGGGATAGCCAGTAAAACTCTGGGACGGACAAGCCAGGGGAGGATGAGGTCTAACTCTGGGACCAGGAGGTAAACCACGTTCCCAGCTTCTGGTTACTTCTTGTTGTGAGATCCACTGGGGAATTAGGTAATTACCTTCCCTGGATTAGTGGAGCATTCAGGGACAATGTAAGTCTGGGATTGAGAGGAAAAAAGGAAGAAAATGCCATTATTCCTGATGCTGTTTAGAATTTACCTGTGGCATTTGCTTTTCCAACTCTACCTAAGAGTCGTGACCTTATCATCCATTCACTCACTTGCCAGAAAGGACGGGACTTGGGAAATAGGGCAGAATCTGGGAGACATTTGCTGGAAAGGCTTTGGTCCCAGGCAATGTTAAGTCAGGAGTACAAAGGCCTTGAGTAGCTGACCCCAAAACCTGAGCAAAGTCACTCTCAAAGCTCTTTAGAAACTAGTGATGCCCACCCCACCCCCTGTCCTCTGTTCCCATTGCACCTCTACTCTGTGACCTGTCACTAATTCTGGGGAATGTGGCTAGGTCCCTATTGAAAAGGATAAGGGATGGGTCCCAATCGCCGGTGCTGAGCCTGACCACAGCAACTGGGGCCCCAGGAGATGCAGGAGACCTTCCCAGACCCAGCCCATGGAGACTAGGGCAAAGATTACCTTCAAGATCTGGACATAAGGCAGGTTGTCTGGACCAATCTTACTCCCATTCACCTCGATGTGCTTTAGCCACTGGATATGGGGCTGTGGGTCACTGTACACCTTACACATGAACTCCACATTGCTGCCCAGGGCCACTGTCTTGTTGGCAGGCAACCCCGCCTGCAGGATGGGCCGATGAGGGGACCGCTCTGTGGAGGAAGGGAGAGGAGAGGCTCGTCAGGCTCTGCCATGGCCTGCTCCTGGCTGGGATGCTGACAGAGCATTTCCAGTCTCTGCTGAGCCTTAGCCCCTTGACCCTGAGCTGGAAGAAGAGAAGGGACACTCTCTCCTCAGGTCTTAAGCTGTTAGGAACCTCCTCCCCAGGGCAGTGCACCCATTTCCCCAGGCACCAGAAGTCCCTCTTGCCTAAATGGAGACCCTATAACTTAGTCACACTCCCAGACCTAACTAAAATTAGAGAGTCACTTAGACTTGCTATTCAAAGCGTGGTCCAAGAACAGCATCACCGGCAGCACTTAAGAGTCCACTAGCAATGCCAAATCTCGGGTCCTATCCCCCTCGGACCAGAAGCTTCTTTTTATACCATATCTGCAAAGCCAAGACAGAATGCTAGCTGAGAAACTCTTCACCTTAAGATCTCTAGGGAATGAGATTCAGAGTCTCCGGAAGGAAGAGGCTGCAGTAACAGCACCTAGAGGCAGGGACTACGTCCTTCCTAGTGCTTCCTGTGATGCCCTGCACGGGTCTGCAGTTTTACATTAATGAGGTCTCTGATTCTGGGCCTCAGTCTGCTCTTCTGTAGGGTGGGAGTGACAGTGTGGACCTCGCAGGGCCCGTGAGAACGGCCGGGTGTAATGTACCCAGCAGGCTGCCGGCCCTGAAGCAGCAGCAGCTGCCTGTGTATCTGCTACGTGACACCCTCCCCAGGCAGCCCTTGCAGGAGACCAGCCACAGCACCTTTCACCTTACAGTGAGTCACAGAACTGTCCAATCCTCTCAACCATTTACAGGTAAGAAAAATGTACAAATGACTTATGGAAAAGCTGCTTAAGGTGACAGAGCTAGTAAACGCCAATGACCTGTAAGTAAACCTGGACCCCACGGCTGTTTTCTCAACGCCCTGCTCTTTCCTCTAAGCTCCTTAACCTTGTTGCCACTGCCCTCTTACCCACGACGTCGAGCTGGTAGGTGTGGTTAATGCTGCCATACTCATTCTCCACAATGCAGGTGTAGTTGCCCTTATCAGAAGGCACTACGGAGTCCATTATGATGCTCCAGGTGGCGTAACGGACCTGGGGGAAAACATGCCAATAGCTCCATCGCGAGTCTGGAGGAAAATGGAGGCAGAAGCCACGGGAGGCACTGGCACCCTGTGCCACTTACCCTCCAATCACAGCCCAGAGCACACGGCCCACGCAGCAAACGAGCCAGGACAGGGCAGACGGCCACCCTGGTCCAAGTTCGGGGAAAGAATATATCAGGCAAGCTGGCAGGTGGGTATGAGAAACTCTGGAAGTCTGCCCGCAACAGCCAGGGCCATCCATGATCTGGACCTATGTGCGTCCTGCACACTCCCCAATGCACTGGGAGCTTTCCACTCTGTTCGTGTCCTGGGCCGGAAGGGCTCCCTGCAAAGAGTTCTGCCCTGTCTGCTCTTGACCTCTCCTTTCAAAAACCATCTCCTCCAGCTCAACCTGGGTCAGAATGGTTCTCACTCCTGTGGCCCTGCTGAAGCACTGATCACAGTCTGCTTTTTGCAGCAGTGTTCAAGGACATCTGCCTTCCTACCAGACTGGAAATTCTTTGTGGGCAGGAATGCTGCCTTGTACCATGGCAGTGCCTTGCAAGTGTCTGGTAAATTAATTTACAGTTTCTCCTATTTTTCCTGATTTTTAAGAAACATTTTACTTTTTTTAGATTTATTTATTTATTTTGAGAGAAAGAGAGCATGAGCAGGAGAGGGGCAGAGAGAAAAGGAAAGAGAATCCCAAGCAGGCTCTGCACTGCCAGCACAGGGCCTGACGTGGGGCCCAAACTCCTGAACTGTGAGATCATGACCTGAGCTGAAACCAAGAGTCAGACGCTTAACTGACTGAGCCACCCAGGTGCCCCTAACGATTTTACTTTTTTAAGTAATCTCTACACCTAATGTGGGGCTCAAACTTACAACTCTGAGATCAAGAGTCATATGCTCCACTAAATGAGCCAGTCAGGCTCCCCGGACCTCTGCTTTTCTTATACAAGATTAATGGGGAAAGAGCAGCTAGGTGAAATGGGATATAAGGATGATCTGGGAGTCTAAAGAAGAGATTAGGATGAAGTTCTTCCTAGAAACCAAGATGGGTAAAAGATACAAACAGACAATTCACACAGCAGGAAACGGAAATCACTCATTAACATACGAAAATTCTAAGTTTGTTAATAAGCAAAAAAATGCACAAGAGAACAATGAGATACTTTCATCATCTATCTAAGTTGTTGGCTCAGGTATGGTGAGCTTGTCATTCTTGTACTCTGCTATGGGAAGATGAATCAATCTTCCCTTTTAGGAAAGTAATTGTTACCACGATAAAATTAAATTAAAAAAATAAAATCACACCCAACTCATTACATCATACTCCATTAAAGCAAATGTCACAATAATTAAAATTTTGTATCTTCCTGTTTTACTTAGAGCTCTACTTGTCCAGCCAGTACACCTTCTGAAAAGACATGTGCTCAAGAAATGTTCATAAAGGGCCACTTGGGTGGCTCAGTTGATGAAGCATCCAACTCTTGATTTAGGCTCTGGTCATGATCTCCCAGGTTCATGAGTTCAAGCCCCGCATTGGGCTCTGTGCTGATGGTGCAGAGCCTGCTTGGGATTCTCTCTCTCTGCCTCTCCCCCACGCACATGCGCACACACGCACTTCCTGTCTCTCTCTCAAAATAAACAAAACTTTTTTAAAAAAAGAAATGTTCACATAATAAAAAAATAAATGATTAAAATTATCTAATTACCAGGAGGAAATAAGGTAATGGGGAATACGCATCAAGGGCTTAAAAAAATGCTTCTACTTTGATCTAGTAAACTTCACTTCTAGCAATCTGTCTTAGGGAAGAATATTTTAAAACACCAACAAAGATTTATGTATAAATATATTCACTACAGCATAATTCATAATAGTGAAAAATCAGAAAATAACTAGTATGACAATGTATGTCATCAAGTTATGGACATTTTAATAATGAAATATTGTGCAGCCATGAAAAATTATCTACCGAACACATGGCAGAAGACACGTGCTGTAATGTTAACAAGGGAAAGAAATTCTACACACATTGCGATTAACTATGCAAAAACCAGACACATAAGAAAAAAGACTGAAAAGATTAAAATTTTATTTATTTATTTATTTTTTTTTGAGACAGCGCGCGCGCACGCGTGTGCAAACAAGCGGGGGAGGAGCAGAGAGGAGACACAGAATCTGAAGCAGGCTTTGGGCTCTGAGCTGTCAGCACAGAGCCCAACATGGGGCTCAAACTCACAAACCTTGAGGTCATGACCTGAGTCAAAGTCGGACGCTTAACCAACTGAGCCACCCAGGCGCCCCAAGACTGAAAAGATTTTGAAGCTTCATTTGAAGTTTTTATATTTGAAATTCTTCTAAGGCACACTACTTTTATAGTTAGAAAGCATTACTTTAAACCATTAATGCCACATAATAAGGATTTTCTAAGTAGATTTTTTCATTCATCTTACATTAACTTCCATACATACACACGTACCTTATAGCCTCCAATCCTGTGGTCAGGTTTGAATTCTTTGCCATTTTTCAACCAGCGCAGCGTGGGGTTAGGAGTCCCACTAGAAGGACATTTGAACTTCACAGTCTTGGCAGCTGGCACCGCGTGCAATTTCTTTTCCATCTTTTCTGGGGATGTCCAGTATGGAGCCACGGCTACCCAGGGAAAGCCAAGAGAGACAGGCAGGGTCCAGTCAGGCTCAGGAGCAGGGGCCCAGGCCAGGACCTGGAGGTGTCCCCAACACTGTAAACAGTGCCCGCACTAATCAGGGCACCCAAAGGATCCCATGACCCCATGTGCCCTCTTCTCCCCTTCTCCAAACAATCATCTAAGCCTCCCCCTTCCCACTCAAACCCAAGGCCCGGCCCGAAGGCAGTAAGGTAGGAAACAGTGTCTCACGCATACGGTTTGGTTTGGTGTTATCTGTCTCTTTCTCCTCTGAAGAGGAGTCATCATCATCGTCGTCATCCTCCGAGGAGGGGAGAGCATCTATGGGAAGAAGGGGGCACTGAGGTCCCTTCGAGGGAAAAGGGCTCACTAGATTTCCATCCATATCAACAGCCAGCCATGAACATAAAGGCCAGTCCAGTTACAGAACGAATGCATCTGGAACCCCCCAGTCCCATTCCACTCTTAGTGACAGTCTCTCTGTGGGACAGAAATGGTTTAAGAACTGCATGCTCTATGCCTGTCCCCCGCCTTCCCCAGCCCAACGCAGTGCCCCTTTCTGTCCACAAGCCTTGATATTGGCCAGTTCCATCAGGGGCAGCAGGTCCTCTTGGATTTAATTACACCTTGTGTTGAGAAGTTCTCTCAACTCAGTAGCACCCAGACGTGCTGGGTCTCGGAACTAGCAGCCAGGGGAATCTGTGTGTATCCTTCTTCAGAAACCCAGACAGATCTAGGCATGCTATGGCGAGAAGCTATTTCTAAAGCCATGAGGCTGAACAACTCACAGATGGAATTTTCCTAGCATGTATCTGCTGAGGTTTGGGGGCTGCCCTTCTTGCCCAGGGTAGATAGGGAGCCCACCACACCGTCTGCAGCTGCCGACACTTCTCCCCAAGTATCCACCCCTTTTAAAAGGCTTGACACACATGTGGTCACCAATCAGGGTTCATGCCAGATCTTTTTCCAGTCCTTCAAATGGGGGCAGGTTCTAAATGATGCCTGAAGGGGAGGAGATGCCCAGCCCTCCCCCTTAGGATGCACAAACGGCATCAAGAAAATTTCAACTCTTCTTTGTTTCATCCTAGAGTTTTGTAAAACTCGTGTTCTATAAGTGGCAGTTTCCCAAAGTCACAGAACTCCAGGGTTCCCTGGCTGCCCTTAATACAGCTCAGGAAGCTGGAGGACCGATGTTTTCCATGAAGCCTGTGAATATGGCGGTGCACCTGGATCCTTTCCCATCATAGTAGGGACCTACCTCACCACATATTCTGGGGCTCTAACCCCTAAGCCGAATACCAAGTCCAAATGGCAAGGGAATGACAGAATGGAAGCTGGCCGAGCCCCAGGTAGCACCTGGAGATCTGGACAAGCTGTGGCGGAAAACTATCAGTGTCTTGCTGACCCAAGTGTATCAGCAGTCACTTGAGGCAGATCCTGGAGGCCTAGATCTCTGACCTGAGGCCTGCCCCACCTGGTCACCCCTCTGAGAGCTAAGCCACGCGGCGGGCAGGGAGCAATGTTAGTGGGCAGCAGTTTTGGAAGCAGAGTGGGGGCAGATCATGAAGGAGAGGAGGTTCGCCTCCCCCTGAAACTAGAAGAGAGGGTTGGAGGGGTGGATCCAGGGAGAGGGGGAGGGCAGGCTTTGCTACCAACCTGAGACATTGACGGAGAAGTAGGTGGTGTCGCTGCCCGAGGGGCTGCTGGTCACGCAAGCGTAGAGGCCGGAGTCGGCAGGCACCGAGTCCCGCACCTCCACCTCCTCCCCTGTGATGCGGGTACGGTTGCTCTCCACCAGCTGCACCCCGTCCCGCAGCCAGTTGATGCTCTGGACATCGTCCCGCAGCCGACAGCGAAGCTGTAGCAGGTCACCAGGGTGGACCAGGAAGGACTCCACTTCCACAGGGGCTCCCCAGGGCTGGGCTGCAGCCCCCCACAGGGACCGGGAAGGGGGACCAAGGGATGGGACAGGAAGAGGGGGAGAGGGGGAGAGACAAAGGGAATTATGCTAGCTAGCCGCACTGAGCTGCAACATCCCGGGGGCTACAGAGCCGGGAGGTGAGAACCGGAACAGGTGTCAGTGGGAAACGGCTGGCTACCTAGAACCCCACCTCTTCTGCTATGCCCCACTCCCCCAAAGGTCAGAAGAAGAAAGAGGCAAAGCCAGGAAGCAGCCACAGCAGCAATAAGCAGTTGATGTTTCATTTCCCTCCACCGGAGGGCGGGGGAAAGGCCGGCCCTCCCCAGGGCTTCGTTGTGTCCAGACTGCCCCTCTCCCACTCGCTCAGTCCTCTGTCAAGGATGGCCACTTCCCAGGAGGACACCCCATTTCTTTTTGGCTAGCCCAGCCTCACGCCTCTCACTAGAAACAGCTGAGCAAACCTGTCCCTCAAAACTCCAGCAGCCCCCACCTAAGTTGAGAGAAGGCAATTTGTCAACCGGGGCCCTCAGTCCAAGTGATTCAGCAGGGAGGGGTCTGGCCCCTCAGTGAGTCAGATGCATAAGATGCATATGTGGGAGAGGCGGCCCAAGGAGAGGTCAGCTCAGGGGAACCTCTGGCTAACAGGTGTCGGGCCAGAGGATTCGGAGCTTTTGACTATATTAGGAACGGAGGCCTGCAGCTGCCACCAAACCCACACTTGCTCTGGCTGCAGAAGCCCTTGCACACAAAGCTCCTTTCTCCTCATCCCACCGCAGGGCTCCCGCGCCTCAAGCCCTCCCGCTTCCCCTCCCCCAACACACGGTCACACACATCCATTCCTCCTCACCTTTCTTTCCCTGGATCCCGAGTGCCCCACGGCTCACAGATCTGATACAACCCGTTTACCCATCCATCCTCACAACCAGCAACTGGGCACCCACACTGACAGTGAAGGCCAGAAGCCAGGCACACTCAGAGTCCACCATCCCTGACTGTGACCCGCTCTTGAGCAGCTCCCCTTTACCAACTAGGGGGAAATGCAGTTTCTGTTTCCTTTCAGGATGTTCAGTTGTGCTCCCTCCTGGCATCTTCTGCCAACTGTCCACCCCCCACCAAAAAGTGCACCTGTTCCAGCTCACATCTACCACCTGACCTACGTCTCCACTGCCCTGGGAGCCTTCTTTCTTTCTCACCCCTCGGTTAACCATCGGCTGCCCAGCTGGGGCTCCTTGCAGGTCCCCAAAGCACCTGCCTCTGAAACACGCTCTCCCATCCCTGCACCCCACTGCCCTCAGGGCCCGTGCCCTGCCTGGCTCTCAGCTACCTTCCAGTTCTTTGGCTGGCTGGGGACTCTGCCTCAAAGCCTTTTCTGACTCCCAGGCTGGGGCAGGTGCTCTCCCACTGCACTCGTCACACTGAAGGACAGTCCCCTTTCTCGACTGAGTTGTGAGGGTGGGGACGTGTCATATTTACTTTTAAAATGCCCAACACCCAGTACAGTACTTGGCACACAACAGTTGCCCAATGAACGCTTGTTGGAAAATGCACGGTTTCCTCACCGTCTTCCTTTCTAAACTCCCTTTTCTCCTTTACCACCTTCACCGTAACCGACTCCTTCTGAAGTGCTACCCAGGTGCCAAACCTTACAAATGAAGAAATGAGCACCCTGGGCGTCAGATGGCACCAGTGACTACCAGCTAATAGCCATCGTCCTCAGAGGGGCCAAGGCTGCCGTCCCCGACCCTCTTGCAACCCAAGTGCTGTCTTAAATACTGGGTAAATACTGAGTCATCGAAAGGGGGAGGTGCTGCTGCAAAAGGGTTTGAAAGCCACTAGGCTAGCGTTCATTTATAGTTTTGTGAATCGGGTCAAGAGGAACCCCACAAAGGTGAGCAGACCACATAACTGATTAAAAATAAGCTTTTGTGGGTCTTAAAAAAAAGTTATTCTTTCCATTTTTAATGGATTGTGGTTTTGCCAAAAGAAGGGGGAAGAAAAGCAGTTCAGACTTGATCCTTAAGGGAAACAGCAGACACTCCTATTGATCAAACCTCTGTTTCCTCCAGTGACCTCACTGATTAAATATTTTGCAGCTCGTGATTCTGTACAAGCCATTGGTCAAACAGTAAACTCCGTAAACTCGAATTCTTAGCCTCTGGCATCACAGCCTATTTTGATAGGTCTCGGAACAAAAAGGTAGCGAGGAAAACACGGGCATGCCCCCCCAGAGAAAGCAAAGGGTCACTGGCCCTACTGAGACCACTCTGGCTGATTCTAGCTCGGAGCCCTGACTCCCCGCTTGTTCTAACTAGGATGTGCACACAAAACTTCTACAGGATACATAGAAAGTCTCAGGGCACCTGGGTGGCTCAGTTGGTTAAGCGTCCAGGTCTTGATCCCAGGGTCATGGCCTCAAGCCCCACATCAGGTTCCACACTGACAGCGCAGAGCCTGCTTGGGAGTCTCTCTCTCTCTCTCTCTCTCTCTCAAGCATAAATAAAACATTTTTTTAAATTTCGTTTTAATGTTTGTTTTATTTTTGAGAGAGAGAGAGACAGACAGAGACAGAGCATGAGCGGTGGAGGGGCAGAGAGAGAGGAGACAGAATTTGAAACAGACTCCAGGCTCTGAGCTGTCAGCACAGA